TCAATAGGAAGTTTTGGCACGAAAACATTGACATAGAAGAAAGACAAAATGAGGTTTGGAGATGGTTGTTAACAAAGAGGAGAAGTTTGGGAATTGTTGATTGAATCTTGTTGATGAAGAGCTGCAGAAATCATTTAGAAAGAAAAAAAAAAAAAAAAAAAAAGAGCAAAACACCCCTTGATCGTCACTATTAAACATTATCCAATCATTGACGTCTTTCACAAAAATACTATTAGAAATTTTCATATGAAACTCTTTACTCTGTATTCCTTATTGTACTAAATGTCTGCAATTTTAGGATTATATAACACAGTATATGGATGGTGGGCCTCAATGATGCATCACCCAATGAGTTTCAGGTTTTTTTTCTTTTTCTTTTACTATCACACACACACACACACACACACATGTATATCTCTTTCTATTGGACTTGAGAAAGTATTATATACATTTTAACACCCTTGTAAACTAAACAAATTCCTAATAGTTTTTAAAACTGGATAGATTATTGTTGATAAAGAATTAGTTTTACATTCAAACACCTTTTAAACCAAATTCCTATTCTCCTTCGTTCTTCACATTAATGGTTACGTAATTAAATTAATTAAATCACCTCTCTAATGAAATTAGAATTGAAATTTTACTTTTCAGTGAAAATAAATGGTAGTAGATATAACCAATTCAATAATATATCTTTCATTATCAAAGTCAATAGTTGTGCCATTTTTATCTGTATATATAAATTGTTAGCATATTTTACAATTTTGGACATGGCATGTGTAATTAATTATAATAAATGAAAAAATTCAAACGTATGTAAGTTTCATACCAAGTTTTAACAATTAAGGAGTTACATTCACATTCAAGCACCTCTTATACCAAAAATTAGGATTATGGGAAAAAAAAAAAAAAAAAAAAAGAAAAGAAAAAGAAAATTCGCATGCTGTAAAGTGACATAGATTTAGATATGACTAAAGGGCTAGATTCACATGCATGTAATTAGAAGGATTTCAGGTGTATTTAGGTTTTTTACAATTAGCCGGCACCCCTTACATCATAATTCATGTACATACTTATATCAAAAACTTTTAGGGTGAGTAATTCAAGTTTTCTAATGCTGGTGTTTATGGAGATACCTTTTAACTTTATTATCTAAAGTTTGTAATAGAATTTGTGGTTTAAATTTGATATCATTTCTTTATAAAAAAATTAAAAAAAAATTCAATTATTAGTTGGTTTATTGAAAAGATGATAGAAAACAGAGAAGTTACCTCAAGACATGTGATCCATTGTTGTTGAAGACAAAAAATTTATGTTGAAAGTTAATTTGGGTCTTTAGTTGGTTTGGTGTCTCAGATTATGCAATAGAGTGGCATGAGTTAGGTAAGACGTTCGTGGCTCCTTGAAGTCATTATTGATGATTTATCCTCTTTTTCTTAATCTAACTTTGTAGAGGAGTTATAGTAGTGCAACTTTGGTATTATTCAATTGAGCCTAATTTACCAATCTCTTTTTCTTTCTTGTACCATATTTTTCACAATGAGTGGTACTCAATATATCTCTAATTATTAAAGTCACTTGATTAAGTATTTAACACAACATAAAAATAACATAAACATTTTTATTAATATTATGATGTTAAATATACAATTTTTTTTTTTTTTTAGTCGAATTCTTCATTATACTGCACAAAAAATCTAAAGCAATTTATGAAAAAAAAATAATAATCAAACGTGTATGGCACGTTGATTTTTCTAGTATGTATATATATATATGTTCTTCAAATAGGTTATGAGTCTTCCCATCATTTCTATCTACATCAATAAAACAAAATAAAAATATTTGGGCCAGTGGCAGATGAAATCTTGGCATGATCACCTGTTTGGGCCGCAACTAAATTCAGTCCTGCCAATTCATTTTGCAGCATTAAGAAGTTCAAATCACCAATAACTAATCAGTTGAAATCAGATTGAAAATTCTGAAACCAGGAATGTTGATGTACACTTTTCAGTCAGTTACTCTTAGGCAGTTGGTACCTAAGCCAATTCCTAGTAGCTTTCAATGTACCTTTATTATAATGCTTGCTTTGCTTGGTTTAATTTCGGCAACTTTACAACTTGCTTTACATTCTCTTACTTCAACTATTACATCTTTGTAGGTCAAAGCCCAACCCTTCATAAAAACTTGGGTGATATTGAGTTAATAGGAAGAGTAGAGCTTTCAATGTACCTTTATTATAATGCTTGCTTTGCTTGGTTTAATTTTGGCAACTTTACAACTTGTTTTAAATTCTCTTACTTCAACTATTACATCTTTGCAAGTCAAAGTTAGAATTGCGGGATTGCGGTAGCCGTTACTTTTTTTGTTGCCGCTATATTTTTTGTATGGCTCGTGAAGAAGTTGATATATGGAAGAGAGAGATTAAAATAGAGCAAAAAGGTATGTTGAATTTTTGTTTTATTTTGGTTAAGTAAAGATATAAGATGTGGATCATGTATTTCTTTGAAATTTGTATATGGTTAATTTTTGTAGAAAACAATGATTTGAAATTGGTTATATATATATATATATATATATATGATGTTATTGGTGTGGTAAGTTATTTTGGTTGTGATGCTATTTTTTATTTATTTAAGGTTTGCTTCTAGGGTCCTTGCAAGGTTAGTAATGGTGGTAGAAACAAAACTTTCTATACCGTGGTAGAAAGATATTTTTCTACCGCGGTGCAGAATCGTGGTAGAAAGAAGACTTTCTATCACGGTTCAGAACCGTGGTAAAAAGTCTTCACGTACTACCACGGCTGTTTCTACCACGGTTTTGAGTGTTTTCCACCGTGGTAAAAAATTATTTTTCTTGTAGTGAAATTTTAGTTCAGTAAAGCTTTTTTAAATGAAACTAGAATTTGGAGTTTTTTAAAATACCGAGTATAGGTTGAATATTAGGTAACTCCTTTTCCTTCGACAATTTTGTCATTTTTTAATTTTCTTATAAAGACAATGATAAGGATAATTTGAAATAAGATAATACAAACAAATTGGATAAGGTAGTACTCCAACTGCAATTGACCAGTTTAAAGTTGAACGAAGGCGGTTGAGCTGATAATAAGTAGATCACAACAGTTAAAATTTTAAAGGAAAAGTCTCCTCGAATATCTCCTCGTATCCTAATAGGTTGCAACAGTTGTACCAACCCATTGTTATAAGTATAACATCTCACTAACCAAAGAGCTAGGTAAGAGACAATCAATACATTAAACTCCTGCTTTTACTTTAGAGCTTCACTGACTTGATCATCAGAGAGCTCTTGGCAGACACCACACGGGTGCCATCAATACTAATCTTTTTTATTGTAGGGAAGCGATGTCATTCCAGGTCGTGCAGAATCATGGTCCAACAATTGGCAGTCTGTGGGAACGTATAATGATTTCCCAAAGAATATTAGGATTATGACGCGATGTCGGGGGAAGATTCTACCCTAGCACTTCTAAGACTCACCCACATCAAGCCTCTGGAAAGGCTCACCTAAATAAAGCCTCACACTAATAAGGCTCACCCATATGTAAGACCTCACCTAGATCGAGCATAGCATTGACAAAGCTTACTAACATTAAGTCTCTGGTAAGGGCTCATCGAGCCTCAGCAAGTCTCACCCACATCGAGGCTTTGTCAAAGCTCACCCAGATCGAGTCTGCACTAGAAAGGCTCACCTAAATCAAGCCTCACCCACATTGAGCCTAGCACCAAGGGCGGATCTAGTATTTCTGAATGGGGTCGGTTAATTTTGGATTAGGCTAACTTGGGGTGGGCTACTATTACTAATTTTTTTTTTTTTTTGGGGCTGGGCTTCGCCTACCCCTGGATCTACCTTTGCGTAGCACTGTACGTCAAATGTGATGATCCGAACCTGTAGGTCCGAATCGTTATTCAGGTCTAACCCGACCTGAAAACACCCAAAGACAAAATGGTCATTATACACAATGTTAAGTGTTAGGAGTTATATTACATATTATTTGTGGGCCCTTAGAAAGGCCTACAGAGGCTGAAAATCATATGGATTTATGTGATGTCTCATGAGTATCGACCACAACAAACTGCCGCTTCACAAGTTCCCAGTGACATGGGCTGTTAAGAAGATTGGTTTGGCCAGTCAAAAGCTTTGTTTGAAAACAAAGGTTGTAAGTTGTAACAGGCAAACCCACTTTCACTAATATAAGTTACGGGTCACACTTCTTCAGAAAGGCCAACACATGCAATGTATTAGGTGGCAAGAAAGTTGATGCCACTAGAGATAGTTTTAGGTGGACTGGTACACCTTTCAGTGTTGTCTTTGAGTTTGATGGGAATAGTGAAGCATCTTTTGGATCGATGTTGGAATATGAATGACTTGGTTCTTCTCAATACCAACACATGGGATTATACCAATTTTACTGGAGATGTCTTCAAATTGGTGGGTCAAAATTTGTAAATTAAACAAATCCTCGGTAGTATTGAATTTTGTTCATACTCATATAGGATTAATTAAATTTGAGAACCAATTTTTTTAAAGTGGAAAGGAATGATGTAGGACATATTTTAGTAATTTTTTTTAATTAAGTTTATTTATTTATTTTTATTTTATATTTTTAGACAGTTTTTAGTTTTAGGTAATTTATTTTATATTTTTAGTTTACATGAGTAATTAGTTTCTTTTATGTTATTAGTTTCTTTTATAATTTTAGGTTTTTATTTTATTATAAAAAATATGTAGTGATATAGTAGAGAAAATCAACTTTTTACTAATATATAATCAGATTTCTCTGTTAAATTTTTTATTTTTATTTTTTATTTTGTGGATTCAAACTACACTACCTTGTAAATTCAAAGTAACCTTGCGCTTAGTATGAATGATTTTACCAATTAGTTACTCATATACAGCTCTCTACACAAGAATAAAATGAAAAATTCAAATCTAAGTTGAATAACATAGTCGCATACATTGTAGACATTATTAGTTTGGTTAAATATATAAAACAAAACCATTTATAATATTACAAGCTCTCACATCTCAATAAATGGAGATTTATTACAAATAACTAATGTCCCAACCACAAACATGTGAATCAGTTGCTTTGGTTGTTTCTGTTTTACTTACTATACCATACTTGGCAATGGTTTACCAGCGATTGTTGTGTTTAATGGGGGAGGCGAAGGTTTAACAGTGATTGCGACCTGCTGCATGTTAAACCTTCTATACTATACTTCTATGGTTTACAACCCATGATCCGGATCACAGATTTCAGTACTACAGGATGAAGAATGGGCGTGACGAAAATCATTGGGACCTGCTGTACTTTCAACCTTGGCCCTGGGGTCTGCAAAATTTATGACAACAATTTGAATGAGAGAGAGAGAGAAATAGAGAGAGAGAGAGAGAGAGAGAGAGAACTTACCGAAGCTGGAAATAGTGGATAAATTTCGCGCGCAGAGTACAGGTGAAACCATGATAATCCCAATCAAGAACAAGCAGCATATGATGATGGAAGAAGAGGTAGAAGAAGCTTTTCTTATCATTTTAATTTTTTATTTTATTTTTCTTTGGCTTCAACGATTAAGAACTGAACAGATGAAGTTATAGTAGTATACTATAAGTGTTTAAGCATGATCTATATATATAAACAATGTATGGCTTATTTCTGTAAGTGGGTAATATGAGTGCAGAAAGACTTTGACGTATTCATCACGGTGGTTTTGTCCCACCACTTTTTTTGATAAACCAAAGACTTTGAATCCGCTTTAAATTAAAGTGGATTTTCATCATTATTCGTCATTCAAAATCACCATTTGATTGTGGATCTAATCTCGAACTAAATTCTGATTTGAATTTTCATTCAGTTTGTAACCCCATACTTTATAAAATATCAGTTGGATTAATTAAACACTTCACAATATTATGAAAATTGATTTCATCAGAGCACAAGAGGTCTTGTTTTAATCCATGTAAACTCATGCATGTGATCAAACGGAGGTTAGGCAAGTGCATTAAAAGATTTCTGTTCCAAGACATGCACAGATTTTTTATTTTTTATTTTTTTCAGATAAAAAAAAAAAAAAAAAAAAAAAAAAAACACTATTACACTTATTTGGTTTCTTTTCTTTGCTAACAATGGAGTATTTATTTATTTAACTCTTCTTCTTTTTTCTTTTTGGTGGTGGGGAAACTTTTCTGATTTTCTGAGAGACAGAATTTTCTTTACAAAGTACTTTAGTGATGTAGAGATGAAGAAAGACGGTATGTAATCACCTCAAGTTCATTGCTATACAATGGCGATTGGCTAATATACTTTTCACTTGGTGGTGCTCGAACCACTAGGTTTCCACAATCGATTGACTTCGGGAAGCTCTAATTGCACGTCACTGACTTCTTCAAAATAAGAATATTCAAAACTTAATAAAAAAATAAAATAAAATTTGACCACGTCACTGACTTCTTCAACATAAGAATATTCAAAACTTAATAAATAAATAAAAAGACAAATGCAAATTTAGCAAAAAAATAATAATAATAAAAAATGAGGAAGATCAAGGCGTAATTCTACACGCCTAAAATTCATATTACTGTCAAACAATTTCACAACTATAAAGCAGTAAAAAAAAAAACTACCCGAGCTCGAACTACGCACCTTTCTAATTGCCTTTAGCAAGCCATGAATATACGCTGAAAATAACGACACTCGTTTTGTTAGGATTGATATTCAAAGATTGAAGAAGGAAAAATGATATGTGGCACTTTCCTCTTTGTTTGTAGAGTCTCATTTGGTTTCCCACTACAAAGTTTAATCCCAACTCATACTAAAGTTTTCTTAAATTAAGTTTAGAAAATTTCTCTAAACTTTTTCATATTTGGTAATTTTGAAAGAGATTAAGTGCAGCAACTAATAGTGTATCCTGCAAATACAATGTGATTGAATCGAGTACATGCTCGGTCGAATTTAAAAAATAGAGCTGTTATGATTCCTTACACATTGTGAGAGACTTTGACAAGCAATTATACGTCTTCAAGATATGATTTGAATTTTTAAAATTCTTATATCCGTCATACATGGATATAATCTCAAATTAAACCCTAATTTGGGTTTGAGAAAAACTTGATCTCACTTTCAATTGGCTTGGGGAAGCTTTAATGACACATCGCTAACTTTAGCATAGAAGAATTTTCAAAAATATATATATATTTTTCCTGGCAACCCAAACACCACTACATAATAAGATTACATAAGTCTTCCTTGCCTACTGCAAGGATAGCAACATACAAGTATTCAACAAACATAGCATACATGAGGTCAATCCTTGAGGCTTTGATATTAGCCTGGCCAACAGAACTTGCTCGACAGCATATGATTGAAAATAGATCGAGATGGAGCCAAGATATTACAGCGAGAGTGATGCTCTCAGGAGCTCCAAAAACATCCCCTTCACCTCAAGCCCAGTTTTGCACCAGACCGCCAATATCCACTTGACCTTTCACCAACCCCAGCCAACGCGGATGCGAAAATCCGCCAGCAAGCTGAGAAAATTGAACGGTAGCTTCAAGAGTATTCCAATACCCATTAAATAAAATCAACTGCACCAGCTGGTCCACTACAATATCCTCACACACAAAGGTTGAAAAAGGGACATAACCCACTAGAGACGTGGGCTCAATAGAGTCAACCCAATCAGTCAGTGGGTTAATAGTTGCACCTTGGCCCAAGCCCACTATTGGAATGGATATAAAAATCAAGAATATGCTAATAAGGTGAACCATAAGGCCCAATGTCCAGGGCCAGCAAACCTAAACTAGAACCTTCTAGTAATATATGGGCCAAAAAGGAAGTGCATACGATACGCCAGTCATGCAGCGTAAACAACACCAGTGATGACGTCATGGCTACCTGCCTATATAGTATTCCGAAGCATTTGCGTTCACGATGAACCGAATCCTACAAGCTTGATGAAAAAGATAGCAAATCGTCCGGTGACCATGCTCGATCTGCTTGTCCAAGATACAAGTAAACCAAGAGAGGGTAGACTTTCATATGGATAGCAAAAAAGGAAAACAAATAGAGAACACAAACAGCACAACAACAGACATAGAACATTAAATCCAAAAAAGAACCAAGAAAAACGGTAGAAATACCTAGATCAAACGGAAATATCGTCAAACAAAGGACATCAAGTGTGCCACCATTCCAAATTACCCATGGGACAAGCAGAATCACATAAGACTCCAGCCAGACAAATAATATGAGCTTGTCCCAGAATTGTGGATGACAACCATCCCCTAAAACACACTTTTGGAAAGAAATATAAGCTCTGATGGAAAGAGAACCTCTACGGGGAGAGGAATAGCCAACTCCGATGAACAGATGATAGATTACTTGAACAAATTTTGAAGAAAGATTGGAGGATCTGAGCAGATTTTGGGTTTCTCTTGCACTAAGCCCACCGCTCTCACTTAAGTCCCTGAATTTTTCAAAATTGAAGGGAGAAATAAAGAAAGAAACAAATGGGAAATTTAGAAAAATGTGGAATATGGTGGGGTCCATAGTTAGTTGTAAGCATCACCAGTACTGACCAATAAATATTTGGGCACGAATCCTCTGAAGTGGATACCCATGCGGTCCACTGCAGTGAGCTCCTAAGTGGTCTATATTTGACCACGTGTTTCTTCAGTTAACAACTTTTGAGATCGCGTTTGGCAATTACACCACCATTTATAAGTAACATTTCACCACCATTTCTAAGTAACATCATAGGAGTCTAAAAAGTAATATCACAATTTGTAAGAGAGTAACATCACCACTTAAAAAATAAAGGTTGTTGACAGCCAAATACCTCATAATCCCCTTCAAAATCCTAACTTAAAAAATATATAAATAATATGTTGAATTGAGTTAGATTTATCTGTAACTATTAGTTTTTCAGCACTATGTGAATTCCTTTTTTTGATAGTGAATGTGGTGCGTGTGGCAATTAATATTAAACTATGCCAATTTTTTTTTCAAAGATATGTTAAATAATTTATACCTAAGTGTATGTTTTTTTAATATTTGGAAAAAAAAAAAAAAAAAAAAAAGATTTGGATTTTTTCATTATTTTGTAAACATCAAGTGTTTTGTTTGTTGTCTAAAGTTAATCCAAGTGACTTTAATTTTTGTTTAAATTCTTTAAATTAACATGTTAAAGAGTTTTTAAAATACTTTTATTTCAAATAATAACATAAATGATATGTTGAATTAAGTTACGTTTTATCTAACATTACTTAGTTTGCATTATGTGCATACCTTATTTTGAAAATGAAGATGGTTTATTTTGTTAATTTAGCTGTCAACAACCTTTACTTTTTAAGTGCTGATGTTACCCTCTTATAAATGGTGATGTTACTTTTTAGACTCCTATGATGTTACTTATAAATGGTGGTATAATTGCCAAACGCGGTCTCAGTGTCTGTTAACTGAAGAAAGACGTGGCCAAATATAGACCATTTAAAACTCATTGCAGGGGACCGCATGGGAATCTCACTTTAGAGGATTCGCGCCCTCAATATTTAGCCAAAAATGAAAGCCCAATGCATATTAAGCCGAAAATGAAGTACCAATGCCCATATCTATACGCCACAATTGGTTCCATTTGTTTGGATGAAAAATATTTTATGACAACCAAATACCAATATATATATATATATATATATATATATATATATATATATATATATTTCAGAAAATATTTTTTTATTTTTTGGTGTTTGGTTATCTTAAAATATTTACGAAGAAAAAATATATTAAAATTTAACAATAATAATTTATTTATCAATTTTTAACAAGTTATTTTACACGTCTGCCTGATGGACTCGACCTCAACCTCGACCTAGAACTTTAACAAATACTGAAAAAGTAAAAATATATATATATTTTACCTGAAAAATAAAAAATATTTTCCGAAGAAAATATTTTACGTCTAAACTAATGGAGCATGTTAAAGACTAGAATGAGTCTGTGAGCCCTACATTCGTGCACCTTTCAAACTTTTTTGAACTGTAATGCACCTTTAAAATTGCCTTCAGCAAAACCCTGGGTAAAGTTACTTTCCTCATATAAGCATCAGATCAAGCCAAATTAGTTTTATGGTTAAGAAAGGAAGTTTACTTCACAATCTTTAAAATAACAATTCAGACAAAATGCACCTATGCTAGGGCTCGAACCCCTTCCCTCCTCTTTAAGAGGAGAGAGGTCCCCAGCCCTACTTAAAGATGCTAATGTTGTTGCCAAAGCCGCCTATGTTGATTATCCGGTGTCTTTGGGAATGAGGCTAGAAGACATTTGTAACATTTTCTAATTGTTGTTAGTTCTATTTTTCTTTTTATGATTTGCCAGATTTTCCTTTCGTTGTATTATGTCTGAGGTTTTCCTTGGTTCCTTTAGTATTCTTTGTCATTTTTTGATTCAATAAAATGAACGCATGGGAAAAAAATCTTACTTACAAATGCAAAATTTCTAAAATTTGACCTAACTCATGATTGCTGAAATGTAGATCAGAAGGAATAAAAAACAAAAAAGAAAGAAAAGAAAAAGATATTAAAGTCAAGATCTATAAAAAAGAAAGAAAAGAAAAAGATATTAAAAAGTTTTGGTTTTTGAGGTGTATGATAGGATCAACGGCCTGACAGCACCGTCG